CAATTTATTTCAACATCTGATGTATTGTTTAATAGATTTTGTTTATGAATGGATGTTTTCCCGTTTTATGTATTATATTGTGGGTGTGTCTACTGTGTTGTTGCATAAAGATATAATAAATCAGTATGTACATATAAATATCTTATATATCTCATAATATTAAATAATTTTATACAATAGTTATTGTAAAAAATATTATATCTTTTATATATATTATTTTAGACGTGTTATACATGATTGGACTAATCGTGACGTTCGTGTAATCGCATGGACAGTAAACTTACCATCAGAGAAATCACATTTCGCACGATTATTTAAACTTACTTATTTAACGGATACATTTGTTGGTTGAAAAAGACATATAATATAATACTACATATATGTTCTATGTTTTAAAAATGAACATATTTTATACTATATTTATACTATATAATAAATGATGATCTAGTCCATTCATTGAAATGATGAATCATATGTATCTTTTTAACAAAAATTCAATGCTTAATTAATAAATGCTTTAATTAATAAATAAAAATAAAACAACATATTAATCTTATATATATTTAAAATATATTAATTCATTTCCTTTCCTTTTTATTTAAAAAAGAAAAAATAAAATTTAAACAGTTTATCATAATATTTTAATAATTAAATAATAAAAAAATTAAATTAACATTTATATTTCTATAAATATATATAAAAAATTACTTCAATATTACTATAATTGAACATTATTTTTTTTATTTATTTTATAAATTATATATATAATTTATTAAAATTCATATCAATTTGAAGATTATGTAAGGCTCTTGAATATTTTCAATAATTTTGTTAGCCTTAAAAATTAAAAAAAAAATTTTTCAAAAATTGGAAGAATTATATTTATCAAAAATTACATAATAAATGTCATATAATCATAATTTTTAAAATGAAAACTTTTTGAAGATTTTGATTATTTTTATTTTTTTATAGTCTTTGAAATTTCAATTAAATGATTATATAGAAAAATAAAAATAATCATTTATTATTTTACTAATAATAAGAATAGCATTTAAAAAAATAAAAATGATTTACTTACTAACATGATTAATTGACAATATTCTTAAACTCTAACTATTTTTTCATATCATTTTATATCTAAGATTTTTTTATATCATTTATATCATTATATGTAAAAATATTGAAAATAATTAAAATTATATTATCATTTCAAGAGTTCAAATTATATGGACGGAAATATTTATTTTGTAAATATTTAGATAGAATTACAAAATATTAATTATGATTAATAATTATACAATAGTAGTAAGCTTATTCTTGCGAGATTCCATACCTTGAATAAGTCCTGTTAATAAATCTTCCATTTCTGTAGTAGCTCGCTTTAATTTGCAATTGTCATTAACAACATAAGAATCTAAAGCAATAATTTATGTAAAAATAATTATATAAAAAAATACCATGTATAGTTTAAAATATAATAATTTACCATCTAATAAACGATCATCTGTAACCATATTTTGTAATCTATCTAGTATGTCATTTAGATCACCTTGAATATTTTGTAAGCTACTATGTTGTGAATGTTTATCAGGTCTTTGTAAAGATGATGGTGTATTATCTCTGTGAATATTTATGAGAGAATCAGATATAGGTAATGATTCTTTTTCAGTATTAGTCATAGCTTTTATTGAATATTTTTCTTCTTTGCAATTTGAATTGTTAGAACTTAACCATTGAGAAAAACCGCTATCAGATGGATTTATATCTGATCTTTTTGTACCTAAAATTTAGAAATTAAAAAATATGTGAACTTTATTCATTCAACTTTATTCATATATAATCTATTAAATTGATGTTTTAAAGATATATTTTTCAAAATAATAAAAAATCAACATATAACATACCTCCTATCCATGTACTTAATTCTATTTTAGTAGGTTCTAGTATATTATTAAATTTTATACTTGTAGATGCTTCTCTAGAATCAATAACATCATAATTTTGTTCACTAATACAATTTCTAGTTAATGGATTAAAATTATTTGTTTGTATATCTGTATCATTCACATTTGAAATATGTTCTATATTTTCTTGTTGAATAATTGGACTTAATTCAAAATTTATAGGTAAGGATGTTAATCGTGATGAAAGAGAAGGAACCATTGGTGTACTTTGCATATAATTAATTACTTGAGGCATACTAATTCTATCGGTAAATAAACATTTCTAAAAAAAAATAAAAAATATTTCGTCATTTTATTAGATATCTAAAATGATATTAATTATAAAATGATAATATACTTTTAATAATTTTAGACGTTGTAATTGCGATTCAATTGTAACTCTATGACGCTGAAGTCTTTCTGCCTTAGTACCCTGTATATCAAGCAATTCAACTTGTAATTGTTTATTTTCTTCTTCCAAATGAGTAATTATACTTTGTAGTTCTTTTTGTGGATCATTTAAAACTCGTCTTTTAATTGTACTTCTTACTGATTCACAATCGGTATATTTTATTTCAGTACTACAACAGATATTTGAAAAAAAAATAGAAATTGGAAAATAAATTCGTATATTACATTATTTTAAACTTGTATATATAACAACCTTATATGTGGAATTTGATCATCAATATTTAATCCAATAGATCTACCAGGACATAATCTCAATTTATTCCTAATTAATTCAATAATTAATTTTGTTACTTCTCGATTTGAAGTCTGGAAAAATATTACAGCAAATAGTATTATATAGTATTTATATAAAAAAAAAAAAAAAAGAAAAAATTAAGCACATTAATATACCTTGGTACAAAATTCACGAACAGGATGTTTTAATTTATGTTTTCCTGATATTTTACCATATAAGAAACAATGCTGACATTGATGATATGTTGCACATTTTAGACATGAATATCGTAGTCCATGAATTGGTGTTGTTTTACAAAATGAACATCTAATATTATGTACAACTAGATAAAAGAATATATAATATTTATTATTTTTACTTCAATTTCTTAAAATATATTATTATTATATATATAAAATAAATAACATTAAATGTTTTAGAATATAAAATATATATACTATGTTCTGCAGACTTCATACGATTAAATGTTGTTATCCAAATCAATAAAGGAGGTTCTTGCATAATCCATGTTGCAAACTCTGATTCAGTAACTCCAAGACATCCTTGAGACTATGATAAAATATTATAAGTATTATAAGTTATATACAATTCATATGTTTATATAATATTATATAATTTTACTTTTGAAAAACACTTATCAATATGCGATTGAATATTTTGTGGGCCATATGCTGCACTTTCTCCAAGCATTTCCGTTATTTTACAAATATTTGTTAATAATGTATGTAAACTAACTTTGGATAAGCATGCATTATGATCAGCTAATTGTTGATAAAGATATCCATACTTTTCTTGTAATCTTCCAGAACTAATTAGTATTAAAGCAACTTTTATAGAAAATACAGAAACTGTTCTAGTACATTGTCTATAATATTTGGAATATTTATAATAACAAAATATTATTTATTATTTAAATTCTAATTTAAACAGTAAAACATATATATATACATATATATATAATGTGACATACTTATCAAATATAGTTAAAATATAATTTAAAGCTAATTTTGATGCAAGATCAATATCAAAATTAGTATTAGTTTCTTTGCATGCTGCAAAATAAATATCAGAAAGAACATCTTCAATTTCACTTGAATCTAAATTAACACAATTCTCTGTAATTGAAAGTCTATGACGTTCAAAAATTCCAGCAATTAATTCTAGTTGAACATATTGCACTATAAAAAATATATATTATTATTATTATTAATTGTTTATAAGTATAAAATTATTAGTAATAATAAAATAAAATAAAAATATATTAAACTTACTATTAAGTTCTTTATGTAAAATTTGCATTTTTGCAGCTGTTCTATAAGATGTATAACAAATATCATTACATTGTTCAATATATTTTATAATATTTTGCATTTTTAAATATTAAATATTTTAAAACACACTATCTATATGTGAAGAAAAAAATTATTATTAATAATATGTTATAAAATATTATTTTTTACATAATAAAATATATAATTAATATTTCATAATTTCTTACGTTTTTATAATAATTATAAATAATGACAAAAATCAATTTAATTTAAAGAAATTTTAATTGTATAATATTATAATTCTTTATATTTATAAAAATATAAAAATTTTATTTTTATAATTATTTAGCATTAGAATATAATAGTTTCCAAGTTATATATTTAAATATTTTTCTTATGAAAATATTAGCTCATAAAATCTGAAAAAATTTTTCATTATTTAAAATTTTTATAATTATATTTTTTTATAATTATAAATTTTGAATAAAAAATTACAAGTTATAATTTTTAATATCATAATATATTTACAATTACTATATAAAAAAATATAATAAATTATAATAAACTATATGACAGAATATAAATTATTTTAGAAGATATTTTTCTTTTGTATATCTTATGTCTTTCTTTTATAATTTATAACTTAATATATTTATTAAAAGTATGGATACTTTACATTATATTTGGTTGTATTATATCATACATAAATTTTTATTATTATGTATTATTTAATTATTAAAAATATAATCATTACTTTTTATCATTATTCACGATTTTACAATTTAAATAATGGTACATGTAAACAAAATACATTTTTTTATACATTAATCATAGATAATAAAGACAATAGAGAGTATAGTTCTAATTTACTTAAAACGTGATGATTTAAAATAATAAAAAATTATTAGAAAATATATTATTAAATAACAAATATTTGATAATATTATATACATATAATATTATATAACGAGATATATATGTATTAAAGTAAATTTTTTATTTTTTATATTATTATATAATTTGAAATATATAATTTGAAATACGCCTTAATATATGTAAATAGTAACATGCAACGTAATTTAATCTATAGTTTAAAAAAATATGATATATATTTCTTATATATTTGTTAATCTTTAAAATAAAGTAAATATAAAGAAATAAAATTTTACTATGCATGAATATAATGAAGAAGGACAATTTAGTGACACTGATGAAACTGAGACAAAGTATATATATATATATATATAAAATATGTATATATATATAAATGTATACATATATATTTTATAAAATGTATACGTATATATTTATAATATAATTAAATTATTAATTATATCTTCTTTAATGATTTATACAAATTCTAATGATATTACTATGATATTACTTATAGATTAAAAATGTGTGAAGGACAACCATCATTTCATTGTGAACTATCCAAAAATATTCATAAATTATATATTTCAAATAATGAAAAAGAGGAAGATGATGACAATGATAATTTAGATAATGACGATTTTAGTTGGAATGAAGATCTTATTCAAAATCGAACTGCTTCAAAAAATATTGTCAAAAATATTCAAACACAAAATATTAATGCACAAAATATATCTGATAAAATTACTAATTATCAGCCATTAGATAAATTATTTCGTCGTTATGCTAATAAAATTAATATTGAAAAATATGAAGGTCCCATTTTACCAGGACATGCAGCAAATCTTCTTATTGAAAATGATAAGCGTGTAGAAAAAGATAGATTTAGAACAAAAGACAAACATGATCGTGCAACTGTTGAACAAGTTTTAGATCCTCGTACAAGAATGATACTATTTAAACTTTTAAATCAGGGTATAATTGCAGAAATTAATGGATGTATTTCAACTGGAAAAGAAGCTAATGTTTATCATGCAATATCAAAAACAGGAATAGAATTTGCAATAAAAATATATAAAACATCAATTTTACATTTTAAGGATAGAGATAAATATGTCACTGGAGAATTTCGTTTTCGTCATGGATATTGTCGTCATAATCCACGAAAGATGGTACGAACATGGGCAGAGAAAGAATTTAGAAATTTAATACGTCTTCAACAAGGAGATGTAAATGCTCCAAAACCAATTTTACTACGTAGTCATGTACTATTAATGGATTTCATAGGTACTAATGGTTGGCCATCATCAAAATTAAAAGATGTTGTTTTAACTGCTTCTAAACCAAGAAAATTATATAGAGAATGTATTGAAATAATGTGGAAACTATATAATAAATGTAAACTTGTTCATGCTGATTTAAGTGAATATAATATGTTATATCATAATGGATCTATTATAATAATAGATGTATCACAAGCAGTTGAACATGATCATCCTATGGCACTTGAATTTCTTAGAAAAGATTGTACAAATATAACTGGTAATTAATGATAAAAATTTTTTATGATAATATTATTAAATGTTTCAAAAATTTTAGAATTAATAAACAATATGATTTAATTTTTTTTGTAGAATTTTTTAAGAAAAATGAAGTAGCTGTGATGACTGTTAAGGCATTATTTAATTTTATAACAGATCCAACAATAACTGAAGAAAATATGGATAAGTATTTAGATACAATATCAGAACAAATGACACAGCAATGTGATCAATGTATTGATCCTGAACAGCAAATAGAAGAACAAGTATTTAAGCAAGTTTATATTCCACAAAACTTAAGTCAGGTAATGTAAAAGTATACATATAAATATATATATCGCTATAAATATATAATTGTATATATCATTAAATATTGTATATATATAATATATACAATATATTATATATATATTTAAAGTTTATATTATTTATGTTTAAAATTTTTATTATTTACTTAAATTAACAGATATTGAGAGACTCATTCAATTTAGAATGCTTGCTGAAATATTATATCTGAGTATTCAAAAATTTGAATTATTTATTATAATAATAATTTATAATTCAAATTTAATTTCAAAATTTAAATACTTGGATATTTTTAAGTATTCTAATAAAAGTTATCTATTCATAATATCGAAAAAAATTCAAATTATAATAAATATAAATTATATTAAATAAATATCTGAATATTCAAGAGTATAATAAGAGTTCTAATCAAATTTCATAAGTACACTTTTAATAAAATGTTTAGGTGATTGATATTGAGCGTGATATTAAACTTGCAAAAACAGGAAAAGGAGATTTGATATATAAAACTCTTGTTGGTTTAAAATCAGATTTATCTAAACCTATTGATACTCCTGAAATTCTTAATGAAAGATCTAAAAAAATAAATAATATAGAAGAAAAAGATAATTTATCTGAGAAAAGTAATAATTCTGAAGATAGTGAAGAAGAAGATATACAAAATGAATCAAAGTTTGTTAATTCAGCTCGACCTCGACATGAGAGTCCAGATAGTAAAAAGGTAAGATAATATAATTGCTTATATAATATACTTATATATATATATATAAAACATATATTTAAATATATATTTAATTATAGGCACGAAAAAAAGCAGTGAAAGAACAACAGGCTGAAAAAAGAAAAACTAAAATAAAAAAGCATATTAAAAAAAGGAAAGAAAAAGTACTAAAGAAGAAATAATTTAAGTATTATTAGAAAATATTTTCAAAAATTTGAAATACAATAAAATTATATATAATTAATTTGATGTTTTATATTTTAATTATAAAAAATTTTAAAAAATAGAAATATGTTTGTCTTACAATTTTTAATAAAATTAAGAATATTCTATTCTTGTATTTTATTATATATTAAATAAAATATGTATATAATATAAATAATTTAAAAAATTTATTTTAATTTTTTTTTTTGTTTTCAAGAATCTTCAACATCTATTTTGTTTATAATTATAATAGAATTTTTTATATTTATAAATGACTAAATGGATAGATAATTAAATTTATATTATTTTTTATATTATAATATTAATAAAATATGTTATTCATTTTGATTTATCATATCAGTTAATGCTAAAATAATAAAAGAATATGAACAATTTCTTCTCATAGACAAAATATGAAATAGGCTATTTAAAATAATTATATAATATTAATGACTAAGATCTAATTAATATAGCAGCTTAAAAAATAAGTACATTAAATTTTATACAATTTCTATATTCATACATATTATATTAATGCAAATCAAAATCAATGCAAAATCATATTTATTCGAAAATTTTTACAGAAATTTAATCGAAAATGTTAATTTTTCTTATCGATAATATCGCATGTGACTCAAAAATGGTAACGGTTCGGAAGCACTCGGAATATATATGTAACAAAAATGCACTGAATTAAGTATAGATTAATTCTATATTTAGTCTGTATTTATACCATTAAAAAAATAAAATTATCTAAGAAATGTTTTTGAAATAAAAAAAGAATAATGGAAAATTATTTTGGTATTAAAATTTTATTATTTTTTATATTATAATATTAATAAAATATGTTATTCATTTTGATTTATTATATCAGTTAATGCTAAAATAATAAAAGAATATGAACAATTTCTTACAACTGGTTGTTCGAAATTTGATACATTACTTAAAGGTGGTATAACTAATCGTGGGATTACACAAATTTATGGAGCTGCAAGTACAGGAAAAACACAATTAGCTTTACAATTATGTTTAACAGTTCAATTACCTAAAACAGAGGGTGGTCTTGCTGCTGGTATTTTACAAATTGAATTTTTTATAAGATTATAAGCATTTTTTTAAAATATTTTTCTTCAAACATATTTAATTAATTATAGGTGCAATATATATTTGTACTGAATCTATATTTCCATCAAGAAGATTACAAGAATTGATACAAAAATTGGAAATTACTAAAAAACATGGAATAAATGGTGACTTAATATTTGTAGAACACATTTCTACTATTGTAAGTATTATTATTTATTAAATTAATTCAATTGTTAATATTATATTTTTATTTTTATAGGTTTTTTATTTTATAGTTTTTTATTTTTATAGGAAGAATTGGAAATATGTTTGCTTCATAGAATTCCAACATTAATATCTGTACAAAAGATAGGATTAATAGTTATAGATTCAATTGCTGCTCCATATAGAGTAGAAGATTGGAAAGATGAATCTAATAATAGAGCAAAAAGTTTAAGAATAATTGGACAACAATTACACAAGTTATGTAAAAATAATATTTGTATTGTTTGTATCAATCAGGTAAAAAAAATAATATGTTTATGTAATAACTAATAATATAATTGCACAAATATTTTACAAAAATTATACATATATACATATATATATATATATATATATAGGTAACAACAGATATATATAATAATGTACTTAATGATAATTTAAATGTACGACCAACATTAGGAACAACATGGTTAAGTATGATAACTACTTCTATACAATTTTATAGAATAGATTCTTTAAGATATGCTTGCATTAAATTATCATCAAATTTACCAGAACTAATTATTTCATTTGAAATACAAGGATGTGGGATTAAAGCATTAGATTGAATAAAATAAATTGAAATAAATTTTTAATGTTGTATTTAATTACATAAGTTTGGAAATATCAGAAAATACATTTTCATCTAATATTCTAGCAATATTTATTGGAGACCATTGATTTCTTGGATCAGAAGCTACAAATGGATCCATACTTCTTATATCTAAATTTTCAATGTCATTATTTAATATTAACCTTTAAAAAATTATAAATATTTTAATAAAATATTTTAAAATATAAATAAACACATTTTTTAAATAATTTTTCTATATATATAATACCTGAAGGAATGTAAAAATGTTCTATAAGGTTCTATATCTTTTCGTTCACTATATGTATAATCACCAATTATAGTATGACCAATGTATGAACAATGTACTCTTAGTTGATGTCTTCTACCTGTACTAGGACATAATAATACTTTAGTAGCTGGCTTTCCATTTCTAAAACCTCTTTCTAATACCATAAGAATTGTATAAGATTTTTTCGGTTTCTCACAAAAGATGCTATCACTGACACACATTTTATGATTTCCTTTTTTTTCTCTAATATCAATTCCTAAAAAAATAATGTTGTTATAATAAATAATAAATAAATAAATAGATATTATCTTGATTTGATTACCAATTGCTTTATTTATAATAAGATAAGGTTCATCAATATGTCCATGAAGTAATGCTAAATAAAATTTTTTAGCTGTTCTTGCTTCAAATGCATTAGAAGCAATTTGAGCTGCTTTTTTATTTAATGCAATACATATTACACCACTTGTCACATAATCTAATCTATGTACAAAATGAAATTCATGAAATAATTTTGGATTTACTAATTTTGGTACAATTTTTTTTAATTCAAATTGCAGTGTATCCTAAAAATTTTAATGTTTATAAAACTAATAAATATTATTTTTAATTTAAAAACATTTTTGTCATACTTTTTTTTCATGATTATTACTATTAATATACATATCATATGGTTTAGAAACTACCAAAAAATTTTTACTATGATATAATATATCTACATTATTTTTGTATTTAATTCGAATAAAATATTTTACATATAATTTTAAAAATATTTTTTTTATGTATAACATTTGTATTAATTTAAAAATGAAGGTAGTGCAATTGTACAATATTTTATTTATATTCATTTTGTGTACTATTATAATTACTATTATAATTTTCGTTTTTCTTATAAAATGTTATAAAATTATAATATCATTGCTTCTGTATTTTATAAAAGTAAACAAAATATATATAAATTATAAACAATGCATATTAAATATTCTTTGAAAATCGTTATATATTAACAAAAGAAATAAAGATTGTTTATTATATTTTGTATAATTTTACACAATTTTCCACTTTTATATTGGCTGTCTGTTTTCTATTTTAAATTTTGTTAATAACTTCATATTGATTGCAATAAGTGATGTAATAATAATTTTTATAAATAACAATTTTAAGCTGATATATCAAATTTAAAATATTTTATTTAATTTTGGAAAGGAATTATGATATTTTAAATATTTATTGTGAAAAGATATATTTTAAACAATTTAAAAACATATCAGAGGGCAGCACTTACTTGGGTTTTCAGATTTGGATGCAGACCGTTTGAAAGCAATTTGTACTATGGGAGAAAGTTTTATCGTGGAGTTCGTTATAAATAACGGTATTTCTAATTTCATTTTAATTGAATACTGTTTATTAATTGTTTTAGTGATTATTAGAAAACGTTTTGTATTACCTTCTAAAGATGTTTCGATCGAAAAAAGATGTTGATCGACATGTGAAAGATATTTTTATTAAACTTAAAAGTTCAGAGGAGGTAAGGTTATTTTTCAAGAAAAAAATCCATATTATTAAACATTATCTAAATAATCTTTGTTAATTTTTTATATTATATATAATAATTTTTTTAAATTATAATTTTTATTTTAAATGAATTTTATATGCATATTAATTTTTTATTTTTTTAAATTTATATTTTATGTCAAGTGTATAGTATTAAAGACCTTGACTTGATTGTGAAAAGAATAAATATATGCACATGCATTAACCTCTACATAATAATTTAGCTATTTTTTAAGAATATTTTAAGAATGAAATAGAAAAAAAATTATTATTATTTTGCAGAACAAATTTTTATTTTATTTTATATTCTTTTAAAAAATATTTTATAATTAAATATTTTATTAATAGTTATAATGTTTATTTATACTAACATATCTATCTCTATTTATTTTTTTTATATTTATGATTAAATTAATTAATAATATAAAAATTTATGTTATTAATTTTATATATGTCTGAGATTTTTATTTTAATTTCAAGAAAAAACTTCGATGTTATAATATTGCAAAGTTATATTATCAAGTGGGAGACAATGAATCTGCAAAAAAGTATGTCTCTAATTATTTAGAAATAAGAGATAAATCTGCAGGGGCTCATAAATTATTAGGACAAGCTCTCGAAGGTTTGGGACAAAAGGAAGCAGCCTTTACACAATATAAAATATCCCTTGAATTAGAACCAAAGCAAGATGATCTTCTTTTAAAAGGTATAATTTATTTTAAATATTTCATATTTATTTTATATTTTATTTAAATAATATTTTTCAGTATGTGAGTTATTGTCAAATATGGATATCAATATAGCAAATGATAAAATAAAACATTTAGTAGAAAGAGCTGATAAAAAATTTCCACATCATCCAATAGTTTTTGAGTTAAAGGAAAAATTAATAACTTTAGAAAAACCAAATGGTAATGATGATGATTTAGAAAAACTTATCATATGTACGTAATATATTTTTCATTTTAGATTTATATTATTTCATATAATTTAATAAAATTTATTTGTTTCAACAAAATTATTTTTAGCTGAATTATCAGTAAGACAAACAGACGTGAATTTACAAGTTAAGTTGCTCAAGCACTATATAGGAAATCATAGACTTGAAGATGCATATAATAAAGCTGCTGGAATAGAAGCAACACATAGTCACAGAAATAATATCATTTGGTATCAATCATTAAGTGAATTACTTATGAAATGTAAAGAAAATAAACAATCAGATTGGACATTTTGGATATTTTATATTTCGGTGTTAGAAAGATATGCAGCACTTTGCCTTAAAGAACAAGGTAACATTATTAAAAAAAGTATAACTGATGTTACACAAGCAGTATTTAAGTAAGTATATATATGTGATATAAATTTTATTTATTGTATTTAATATTATTAAATTAAAATATTTTTTTATATTGCAGTTTTGATCAAAATTTATTTGAATTTAAATCAAAAAATTTTTCTAATCATCCTGCTTTTATTGAACACATGTTATTACATATGTGGGGTCAATTACATTTTCATTTAGCATGTTTAATTTTACGAAAAATTAAAGCTGGAGAAGACAGTTGGTCTGAAGCAGGAAGATTATGTGGACCTCTTTTGTTGACTGCATTACATGTAACACCTATAGATCCTACTGCTGTTTGGACTATGCATTTGAAGGACAGATTGAAGAATCAAATACATATATGGTACAGAGAAGGATCATATAGGTGTAGCCAAGCTGGTCATGTACTTCAAGATTATGCTCGAGATAATACTAAAAAATTGCTAGATAAAATTGATAAATTTTGTACAAATTCATGGCGAGAACGAATATATCAAAGAATATTTATTGGACGATTATATCAAGATGGTAAAAAAACATCATTTTTCACAAATTCTTTAATTTCAAATCCACCTTTACGTCTATGTTCGTATAACGAATTAAAACGATTTGATGAAATATCCGAAGAAGCGTGGCCAGATTCATTACATCATCAAGTTTGGCTTGGTTTAAGAGCTCGGCCTCAGGGTTCACAAAATAAAGATAATGGGCTTCATCCAAATCAAACATCACATGTCTTTTGTGAATTACAATTTTCTGTTTATAATTTGCATCAAGCAGCTCCTGATAGTTTAAGTCGTCTTGATATTGATGCATTTTTAAATGCTGCTATCTGCACTTCTTCAATAATTGAAGAACAACATGGTGGACTTTTGAATCCTGAAAAATTACCTACATTACCAGCAGATCTTACTAATACACTTTGTACTTGTGCACAAGAACAGTGGTGGTCATATGCTTATAAAGTATATTCTATGGATAAACAAAAACCACTTGATGATGATCTTGGAGAATTGAGATTAGAACTACAAAGAGGTTTAGAAGTAGTTCGTTGTTTAGGAAATCATGGATTACATCCTGTTCTTTTAGTTCATTTAGCAAGAATATTTCATCATAGGGCAGAAACACTAAAAGAAATAAATCAAGAAAATAGTGATATACCATATTTAGAAGCACGATCTGAAATGTATTGGTCAGCTGCAATTCCGCTTCTTGAAAGATTACAAAATAATCAAGTTATTCGTGTAACTAATTCCAAATTTTTTAATTATCAAGGAAAAGATATGAATAATGCAGAATTAATTAAAGCTTTAGAAGAAGGTAAATTGCTTTTAGCTCAACGATTCGTACGTAGCAAACAATATGAAAAAGCGATAAATGCTCTACAAGCATTGAAGTGTCCAGAAGCATCATTTCAACAAGGTCAAATGTATGAAAAACTTGCAGATGAAATTATAAGTTCTATACCTAAGGAAAATTTAACATCTGAAATGAGATCACAACATATAATTATGCTTTCAAAAGCAAGGGAATGTTTCTATTTAACATTGGATCGCTTGCGTAGTCCAGAAACAAATCCAAAACATCCTTTGAATTCTGAACTTTCTACATATATTGCCGATATTGAAAATAAATTGAAAAGAATTGATCCAGATTTATCACGAGGTGATTTAAGTAGAAATGAATGCGATGGTATGTCGGATGAAAGTTATTCATCTGCTCATAGTGCTGTTGATCAAGCAGTTACAAAAATAGCATTACCAACATTAACGGGATTAAATGCTTCAGTTAATGTCTTGAGTACACCACAAAAAAATATTCATCGTACACCAAAACAATCTAGTACTCCTTATAAACTACAACATCAAGATATATTGGATTTATCACGGAATCGTTCTGAAGCACGTCCAAGTCCTGAACGACTTGATGCTCAAATTCGTGCCATAAATCAAATGATTCATTCAAAAGATAATATGATACAGTCAATAGCAGAGCAAACTAAAACTATATTGGAATTAAATAAAACGGTAATAGAAATAGTGGAAAGACTTGCAAAAGAAATGACAGAATTACGAAAAGAAATTCAGAAACAACGTACTCAAACAGTTAATGTTAATCCCAATTTAGAAGAAGATTTATGTATTTTAAGTGAAGATGATTATAATGATTTGAATTACAATGCAAATCAATCAGGTGCATCTTCAATATCTGGAAATATGTTTCAATCTTCTCACAGACACCCATATTCTCATTTAGTATATCCTTCAACTACTTTTCAAGGATATTATCCAACAGGAATGTCATTTAATGATCCAAATGCGCAAGCTATTCCTTCTCTATATCCTCCAAATATTTATTCAATGCCAGTTTTATATCCTAATACAAGATCAAAAATACCTGAAAATATTCTTCAACAAAGTTTGTTTATGCCACCAACAAATCAACCATTGCAAATTCCATTGCAAAAACTAGAAACATCTAAACCAGAGCCAACCATAAAAGATACTCTTGTAAATAAAATTCCACCAGTCAATGTTGCCATTACCACTTCTGATACACTTCCAACTACAGTACCGATTGTACAACCAACACTTAGCGTAACAATTCCTCCACATTTCAGACAAGGAAATTCTTCTACACCAGTCGTTACAGAACAATCTGTTCCACATTGTTATCAAATTTCTATGCCTTCTCAAGCCACTATACCAACAACAGTAAATTTACCTCCTTTATCAAATACTTTTACAACTACTCCAGCAAATCTTTCTACATCAGAAACATCAAAACAA